TAGTAAAATTATTAGCAATAATTCTTTGTTTACTTGTTATTTTATACAAGTGAATTAAATATAAATATTAATATATTTTTTTTAATTTTTTTATTGTATCTCTAATTTTTTGAGTTATTCATTACTTCATTTTTAATTACTAATAAGTTGATTATCATTATTTTTCATATGAAATTCATAACAAAATACATATTGATTCATCAAAACTCATTTCAATCTATATTTATATGCATATAATATTATCCATATACATATTAATTTAACAAATTCATAAATTATCATAAACTCTAATATTTTTAATAACTAATTATTAAGGAATAAAACTAAAATTAGACAATGAAATAAAAAAAAAAACTCATCTAAAACATAAAGTATAAAAAGATTATTTACTTAACTAATTAATAGTTTAAGACGTGAAGAGAAATTTTATAGAATGAAGAGAGGCCAAAACAATAATTAAAAAAAAGTTTGTATCAATTAGTAGTTCATAACAAAAATTAAACTTGTTAAATTATTATATTAAAATTCTAATATAAACAAATATTTTGAAGAAAAAAAAAGATTAAGACCCCTTTTATTTGATGAGAAGTCGTTTTCTGAAAATTATTTTTCAAACTTTCCACATATTTTTTTAATTTTATTTTCATTTAGGTTTTTAATTTATAAAATTTGTTCTTCATTATTTTAATAAACTTGAAAAAACAATATTAATAAATTATTTTTCAGTTTATTTTTTATAACACAATCAAATACTAAAAAGTATTTTTTTAATTTATTTTTAATTATATTATTAAATATTAAAAAAATAATTTATTTTATCAAAATTTTTTTTTTTTAAATAAACTATTTTCTGTTAAACAAATAGGTTTAAGTACCCTTAATCCTAGCTGTGGCTTCGCCACTGATTCTTGCCTACAATTGTAGAAGCTAAAAGACAAGGGAGTTATTGTAAATCCCAATGCATGAGGCCCACAATGAGATTCTCACTGCACCAAATCTCGAATGATTGTGACTTCGAGGGCAAACCCCCATCTGGAAACGACTCCATTTCTGGACATTGTTAATTTCTCAAGCGATGGGAGGAGGGGGCCGCAGAGGCCGAACCAATGGGTGGCAAGCAGGCCCGGGCCCTTGCAAGATATCCCTGTAAAATATTTTAGATATTTTTTATTTAGTATTTAAATATAATAAATAATAAAATATCTAATAATAAATTATTATTTCATTAATTAATTATTATTAAATATAAAATTATCTCTTCATCCAAGTTATAAAAACAAAAATATAACCTAAACAAAAATATAACTTGTTCAATTTAATTATTTTTTACTGTTTTTTTATTCTTTTTTTTAGAATCCTAACCAAAAAAATATAATAATACAAAGCAATGCAAAAGATTAAAATAAAGCTTTTAATTAATTTATTATTCATCAATATATATAGTTTTTTAAAAAATCTACTAGTTTTACCATTTTTTGATTTTTTTTAAATCTACTAGTTTTACCATTTTTTGATTTTTTATTATAGTGAATGTCGTTTTTTCTAATAAATTGAATATATTTTATATGTTTGTTTTGATTAAGTTTGTTTTGATTAAGTTTGGATTTTTTCTGTTTTATTTTTAGCAAAATTATTAAAATTATCAATTTTTTCTTACATATCTAATAAATTTATCTAATAAATTTGTCATGATTTTTCTAGCCAAATTAAATTCTTTAAAGAATACAAACCTATTTTAATTCAATTAATTTTTTTTTAAAATACTAATAATTTTATTTTTTATGTTTGATTTACTTTTATATATTAACATGTTTTATATATAAAAATTTATACCTGTTATATTACTTTTGGCCCTCCCTGGTAAATAGTACCAGCTCCGCCCTGGGAGGGGGTGCATATGTTCAGGCAACAACTCTAGATTTATGCACTCTCGTAACTCAAGCTCTGTCAAATCTGGGGCTGGTAATCCTGTTGAAATGAAACTAATTTAAGAATCTCCCGTATTGCCAAGTAATTGAGAAGAGTGAGATCATCGAGAACTCCTTCATGTGCAGGCAAAGTGACGCAGAGCATGTATCAACAAGATCAAGTTGAATAAAAAGTCTAGACGAGTCAAAAAAAGCTTTCTGACGAAATTGAACGTAACTTTTAATGCAAGTCATTACATTAGCTTTTAGTTGCGAAAATAGGAAGCGGTCATTTGAAAAGCTCATGATTTATCACCCTTCAAGCTAAAATTAGTGTTACTCTTTAAGAATGGAATCCTCGAGAATTGGCTCCCTGATGATAATGATGCAGTTTCAAGCCCTGTCCACAACCTTTCCCAGGAAAATTCTGTCGACAGCAACAATTTCTACTTTTCAGGTGTAGTTGAAGATCTGAACAAGCACTCCAGAAAGCGGGGACACAAATGGAAGGCAGCCTTGAAGCAAAGAATTTCCATAATCCATGGACTGTAATATCTGCTGTAGCAGCTGCTGTTCTTCTCATGCTCGCTATGATACAAACAGTGTGTTCAATCATTCAAGTTGTTTGATTAAGCTATTTCAGTTGTATTCAGTGATCGCTTCCTCTTAAATTGCTATATATGTTCTTCTATAACTTATCAATATTTCCTCCCAGTCTAGCTTCCCCTGCAACATGCCCGATTGGGAATCTGGGCGTGACTGCCATTGCAACCGCGTTTCAAGCCAAAAGCGTCAAGAAGATGAGCGATCAAATGCAATCAATATGTGATAATAAAATAACATTCAAGAACTATCCATTGATCAAGCTGTTAGAATATTTTATATATAAAAAATATTGTTAGTTATTAAATCAGTTTTGCTCAAATGGGAAAATGGTAGCTTTTAAAAAATCATTAAATTGTTTATGTATTGCTAATAGGTTGATTGAACATCATTGCAAATTCACAAGTATCGCCGGGCAATCATTTAAGTTTACAAGTCGACCCAAGAAATGAAGATGGTGACTAGAAATCATAATTCTTAGATCTAGCCTACTCTCTTATTTTATCTGAGATCCGAGCGAATAGTTCGGTAGATCAACCATACACCGTATGTTTTCAAAAAAAAAAAAAAAAAAAATCAAATCAAGTTTCACTTATATTTTGACTATTTGGTTTATAACCAGGTTAATTTTCAACCTGACTCGATATCAAACTTGAGGGCCAGATCCTGCATGACGAGTCACTTGATTAACTCTTCTGGCAAATAGTTTTAATTTATTGAAAACAGTTTTAGTTGTTAGTCTTTGGGTGCAATAAATCCCAGTTTAAACTCGTCGACGGATCAAGTTATAGTGTGGTTAATTCGGTTTTTCAGACCAGCCAGGTTGATGTGAGAAATGTTTTGTTCCTTCGCAACATCTTCTAAAGTTTAAGATTACAGACTAGGGGGGGGTGCTAGGAAACTTTTTAAGACAAGATCTAAAAATATCTCCAGGAGGGCCAAATATAAATTTTAAGTTGTTTAATTTTTATTTATTTTGCAGGGCCCAGGCCTCCCCTTGAACCCTCCCTGGCCTCCAACCCTACTGACAGATGAATAAATTTCTGTTTTTTTATAAAAAAAAATTCAAAAAAATTCAAAAAAATTATTTTTTTTATTTTAAATATTTTTTAAAGTATAAAAAAATTTAATTTTTTTAATTATTTTTAAAAGTATAAAAAAATTTAATTTTTTTAATTTTTTTTCAAATTAATATTTTTTTATTTTTAAATATTTCGATAGTTAATATTAAAAGATAAAAAACATTATTTTAATTTAATTTCAATTTAAAAACAAACACAATCATAATCATAAACAAGGAGTGTAATTAGGCAGTGCCTTTGTTAGGCTTGGGCAGTGATTTGCATACAGCTCCTGAAGAAGAGAGAATTTCCATGGCTTATTCATAGCAGTGCAATTTCCATAGAACTCAGAACCCCCATTAATTCAAATTTGACTTATTCAGTAACTGAGCCGAACAGAACCGAACCAAGCCGAGCTCTTTCATTCAGTAAAGATGCAGTTCAGTTGGATTGGATAAACCAAACCGTTGCTCACCCCTACAAAAAGTTATATTTGCTCCATTGCGAACCAGGATCCCCTTAATCCGAAGGCAGAAGGCTATGCAAGCCGTACCTCTTGTCCGTGTAAAGAGTAACACAATGAAGAAACTGATCTGAATATTTTGCGTATCTACATTTAGCTAGCCAATATATCCATAATTCTTGAACCAAAAAGTAACACTGAGGAAACATATAACTATTCATGGTATGTTTGATAGGACATGATCCTATTTAATGATAAGAAACACAACTAATCATAGTTTATTAATCATAAAACATTCAAAAGAAGAGGAACTATGCCCTCTTTTGGGCAATGCTGTTGTTCAAACCTATTAACTTCGTGTGAATATATATGATGATACAATCATAACAGAATTAATTGCGGCGAAATGTATAAAATTAGACTCAAATTACATGGTGTCTACCAGCAATGACTTGTCATTAGAAATCAGTTTAGATTAAATTAGGGTGCGGGTGCTGAGATTCCTACGCTCCTAGAGTAACTAACACCAGCTGGTGGGAAACATTTAGGACAGGAATCAGCAATGCATTTGCTAAAAAAATCCGAAGGCATCGCCTGCATTTCGTATACCAGTAACACCAACTTATGGGAGCATTAGATGAGAAAATTAACAACGCCTTCGCAAAAACAAGGGCATTGCCTTTGCACGAAGTGTTCTCTTAAACAATCAGGAATCCAACATTTCTTGCGCTAAATTAACACCAGCTTGTGAGAAACATTTTGAAAGCAACTCAAAACAGTCTATAAAGCGACTGACTTTACACCATGTTATCTTAATTTCAAGAACAGAAACTATATATATAACAAAAACCAACATTAAAATAGATAATTGTGCATCGAAAGCATCAAACTTGATTCCTTAAACCATAAATTTCAACCTGACTACTGCCAAACTTGGTCAAATTAACAAAAACACAAAACAAACACAGCACCAAAAAAAAAACCCTCATCAAGCAAACATAATTAACCAACAAAAGCTTATTGTTAACCATAAAGAATCCAACCAACAATCCATAAGCAGTCAAAACTCAAAAACCTAACAATAATCCTTTGAAAAACAACAGGGTCCTGTCTAAAGGTGATTCAGTTAGTCTCCACCAGCCTTCTGATAAACATAGGTGAGGCCACACTTACCACAATAATGCCTATCAAAATGATTAGCCATAAAAGTACCAGCCCCACATTCGGCATTTGGGCACTCTTTTCTCAGCCTCTGGACTTTGCCACTGTCATCGACTTTATAGAACTGAAGAACAGCAAGCTTGACCTTCTTCTTCTTGTGCTTGATCTTCTTGGGCTTGGTGTAAGTCTTCTTCTTTCTCTTCTTGGCCCCACCCCTCAAGCGAAGCACCAAGTGGAGTGTGGATTCCTTCTGAATGTTGTAGTCTGCAAGTGTACGTCCATCTTCTAGTTGTTTCCCGGCGAAAATAAGACGTTGCTGGTCTGGTGGGATGCCTTCCTTGTCTTGGATTTTGGCTTTGACATTGTCGATTGTATCTGAAGATTCTACCTCGAGGGTTATGGTCTTCCCCGTCAAGGTTTTCACGAAGATCTGCATGTCTTCTGGTTTCTTGCTTTCCTCTTTTTTGCGACGCAGCTGGCGCAGAGGAGCAGCGGGTAGCTTTTATATTAGGGTTTTGTTTATTGGCAGTGTACGAGTTTCTCCCTCGTTTTCCCACCTATTTACAATGAAATCCATAATTTGGGGCAGGCTTTTTGGCGGGCTGCATCAAGATTATCTTAGACCAATTTTATTTTTATTCTTTTGGGCTGGGCTGGGCCGGACCATATTTATATATGAAGGATGAATACATGTAGTCTAAACTATAGTTGTTATATGATCTAGAAATTGTTCTATAAAATATCTGGGTCAGTCTATTAATGCAGTCAATTATTTTTATTAAAATGATATTATTTTCTTCAGGTTAATATCCTTTCAAATTTAGCTTAAAAATCAGCATTGACAGATTTAGATCACGTGTTTTCTATATCAATCCATAAAATTGAATCGGCTTTAAAAATTATAGTTTAAACTTCTCAAAAAATTTGAGCCCAGGTGGAGTGAAAAACCACTGGATCCATCCACTATGAGTATATGATAAAAAGAATAAATACAACGATTTGTGTCTCTAGTCGTTGTCCAGACTTGAAAACCTATACCAGTTCGGCAAAGTACGAGAAAGCCGTTGTCCGATGACCATGTACGATGATTTTTCATGATCAGAATACCAGAACTTGCTAGCAGAAGAGAAACCTCAAACGGTGTTGTACAAAGCCTTGCTCTATCTGTGATCAGAAACACCAGGCGTGAGGCCTGCATCCTAAACTAACTTGGACTTGGCTCCCTTGAGAAGGATTCCATGTAACCTTGCATGCAACCTTATACTTGAATGAACCAAAGAAGACAAGACCTTCAATGGGGCTAGACCAAAAACAGGGCGAAGTTACCCTAACATTGAGTCCACGATCAGTGATTAGCTTCCTTTCTGGTTCTATGTTTTGTTATCTTGTTCGGACTCACCTGGGCTGCTTTTAACTCCAACATCATACGAGTCACAAACACCATAACCATACACTGCATTACAGAGAAAACCGCTGACAATTTTCTTTCGAGTCACTGCTTTTACTACAGAAAGGAATGGACAATTCTACTGGTGCAAGTTAATTTAGCTGGTAAAGGCACAAAAATGTGTATTAAAATTAAATTAGCCATGCTAAAATCATCATTTGACTTTACAGAGCATTATAGTGTAATTTTTGGTGATCTAAACCACTCTTTATTAATTTAAGAATACTAAAATGGTTCACAGGAAAAGAGCAAGTAATATAAGCATGTGTTATCCAAATAAAGGTGAATAATATAGTGCCAATAACTCTGAGAATTTTGCATATGTTCAAGAAAGAAGAAGAAGAGGCAAACTAACAGGACAGGTTTTTCTCAATTCGAAGACATTGATTCAATAATTTCCGATCCACTTCTGAGCAACATGAGCTATCTTGGGCCATTCTTCACCACCTTGGCGACACCTTTCGTCTAACAACTCACAATCAAAGACTGACAATGAGGTAAGTGAGGCTGGCAACCCCAAAGTAGGCAAGGATGCAATCTTTGGGCAGGATTTTATAACCAAACTTTCAAGATTCAAGAGATCATGCAGACCCGAAGGAAGTGATTCAAGGTTTGCACATGCTGAAATTCGCAAACTCTTGAGTGAGCTCGGAAGCTTCTCTTCTGGAAAAGATACAAGTCTAGGGCAATTGAGAATGCTCAGATATTGAAGAGATGATAGACTTTGTAGCCCATTTGGTAGATCCTTCAAATCATTGCACGCTCTTATTGAAAGATATTGCAGAGCGAGAGGAAACCCTTTTCCTGAAAATGACCTTAGTTTCGGACAAAACAAAATTTCTAAGCGTCGGAGGGAAGGAAGATCATGTAAGCCTAACTCCTCTTGCAATGTCCTCAGCCGATAGAAGTGCTTGATCCTGAGTTCTTTCAGTGAATGTAGTGCCTGGAAAAGGCCTTCAGGAAGTACTTCTGTCCTCCGAAAGTTTGAAATTTTCAACGATGGTAGAGAGGTGAGGAGCGGGACCGAACTCCATATTGTCTCATTACAATCGTCTAACAACAGTTCACATAGAGCTGGAAATTTTGGAAGACTTGAAAGATTGGGGCAGTTCAGAACAGCAAGCTCCTGGAGCTTCGGAAATTCGCCATGGTCAATCTCTTGCCATTCCTTCAAATTTCTCATGTCTTCAAGCTTTAGTTTCTTCAAGGAAGGAAACCCCTTAATCTTTCCCCCACCATAAAACTCACGGCCAATGTTTTCCACCTCACACATCATATATATGGAGAGATATTTGAGAGAAGGTAGTTGCCCGAGAGGTGGCAGGGTTTTGCAGTAGTTACAGTGAAAGAATTCGATCTTTTCTAAGTGGGATAACGAAGAATATCCCATCCAATTTGGAAACTTCGCACCAGGATACACGTCAATCCTTAATTCTCTAAGGTTAATATGTGGTTCTAGACATTCAAGCAACTCATCATCAATTCCATCTGGTCGACATCTGCCCCATCTTAACACCAGCTCGTTTATATATTGCTTCTTCTTTAAGTTGGCTTCCTTTGCTTCTGTGATGTTAGGAACATCTCCAACCGTATCAATACAAAGCGTTGCTCGAAGCTCGTTCATGTTCTTCAACTCGCCAATTCCACACCCAATCCCTTTTCCAGCAACAATTCTGTGTAGCCTCTGCAAAGAAGTAAGTTTCCCAAAGTCAGGAGGCATGGATATAAGCTGCCCGCATCCAGTCAAATTAAGATGGCGTAGATTCACCAAATGATTTGTTTCTCCAGGCAAAGCACGGAGATTCTTGCAATTGATAAGAACCAGAGTCTGCAGATTGTAGAGGCTGCAAATTGATTCAGGTAGCACACTGATCAAATTGTGAGAGAGGTCAAGAAACCTGATATGCCTCAAATTTCCCATTAAATCTGGCAACTCCTTTATAGCAGAATAACACAGGTCTAGTGACCGTAAGCATCTCAAAGAGGGTATCAAATCAAGAGGGACCTTCGCACGAGGCTCCCTGCAAAGCAAAAGCATCGTTCGTAAGCTTTTTGATGTACGGAAGGCCTCAAACGGAACTGATTCAGAATTGTTAACCAACACAGATGAATGCCGAACTTTTTCTCCAATGTCTTGCAATTTTTTAACATCCAATGTGAAGCATGATTCCCCAGCTACAAACTGTGCCAGGTCATGAATCAAGTCATGCATAACAAACTTCGAGGGATTGGTTTTGGATCGTTGAAAAAATGACCTCAACAATAAATCGTGAAAATAGCCAGATGCGACATCTTCCAAGCATCTCCTTCCCTTAGAAATAACAAAACCCTCTGCCATCCACAGCAAGACTAGCTTCTCCTCATCAAAATTGTGATCTTTTGGAAATATGGAGCAGTATATGAAACACTGCTTCAGATGTGCCGGGAGATGATTGTAGCTTAGTCTCAGAGCCGGCAGAATTTCATTCTCCTCCACTTCCAAGTCCCATATATCGCTTTTCAAGATCATTTCCCATTCATAAACTTCAGTTGTCGAGTGTAGGAGTCCTCCAAGTGTCTTTGATGCCAGAGGCAAACCTCCACATTTCTTCAAAATCTCCTTGCCAATTGGTACCAAGTTTTGATGTTCATCTTCATTACCATCTATAAATGCCCTCTGTTTGAACAACAACCAGCAATCATTTTCAGATAAAACTTCCAAATGGAAAGGTGGAAATGTGCCCGTGATTGATGCAACCTTTTCACTTCGGGTAGTTACAATGATTTTACTTCCAGATGCTCCAGCTCTGAAAGGAAGGCGAACCACATCCCAGTCACTTTTCTTCTCATGCCACACATCATCAAGCACAAGCAAGAAACTTTTCCCCCTCAAATTATCCTGGAGACTTGTTTGTAGGTTATTCAAATCCATGAGATCACTACTTTTCCCTTCAACAGACTCCAAGATCGATTTTGTCAGCCTTTGAGCATTGAAGTCATCAGAGACACAAACCCACATCTTCAAATCGAAATGGCGAGCCACAGTTTCATCATTGAACACAAGCTGAGCGAGAGTTGTCTTTCCCAGGCCTCCCATGCCCACGATGGGAAGTACCCCAACATCATTTCCACAATAGTCATCAGACACTAACAAATTTACAATCTCCTTCTTATCCTCCTTCCTACCAAAAACACAGGATTCGTCGATTAAGGAGCTAGTTTGCAACCTCTCCCTGTCCCTCGTTTCGGTCCATGTTGCTCCAGCTCCCTCTCTCAAACCAAGCTCATCCCTTTCTTTAGCTATTTCATCCAGCCTCTCATTGATTTCCTTTATCTTAGGAGCTAACCCAAGTTTAAAGAGAAAATCTTTAGATAGAGAGATCAAGCTGCTAGCCTTTTTCTCTTGGTTAAACCGAAAAGCTTCAGTTGCAACCTCATCTAGCACATCGTCTGCATCATAAGCGACTTCTTTGAGGTCGCTTAGCCAAAGCTTCACTGCCATGTCATTTATTTGCCTTGCCTCAGCATCATTAAGCACAGCTTGAATTTTTGCAAGAGTTCTTGTTAGTTTCTTGAGATCCTTGTCGATGCCAATCCGTGCACCAAATTCTCTCAAGATAGGTGAAGCTAAGTTTTCGAGAGCTACCTGCAGTGCGGCAGACAGAAAAGCCTCTCCGATGACTGTAGCCATTTCTTCTTCAAAAAAGAGAGAAAAAAAAAATGTAATTTCAAGCAGAAAGAAAACCGGTGAGCAGAGCTATGAAATCCCAAAAAAAAAAAATTTTTGTGGAATGGGGTGTGATTTGTGGTCAGAGTAGGTTGATTGAAATCATGGAAACAACGAGGAAAAGAGGAGGAAAGGAGTCTAAAGTCTTTTATCATGCAGTGTGCTGCCCATCAATGAAGTGGATGACGTCTGTTTGGTAGTGTTTTATATGATTTGTGGTCAGATTAGGTTGATTGAAATCATGGAGCCAACGAGGAAAAGAGGATGAAATGAGTATAAAGTGACTATTTTGACTTCCTCGAAGCCTCCGATAGCACTTGAAAAGCATGGTATAATTATGAAAACAAACTATATTTAAGTTTTTCAGGGATGTTTTATAATTAAAATTGTGTTTATAAGTGTTAAAAATATATTTATCTTGAAAAAATATTAATTAATAATTTTAATATGCAAATATTAAAAATTTTAAAAAGAAAAACTTTATATATTTTTTAAAAAATTACTTTTAATAACCAATTGATTCAATTTCCGTTTATGTGGACAAGAAATGAAGAAGATAAACAACACAAGGAACAAGGGAACACCAGACCATATATCTGCTTAGGCGCCATGGCAATCTCCACTCTTTCGGCGATAGACCCCAGTCAAGTCAACTCTCCTCATTGAAGCCCTTTTCCCTTCATAAAACCAGTGGATTGTAACTTTGGAAATTAAAAAAAAAAAAAACTGAAAAGGCCAAAGGGTGTTGAATTACACGTTGCATTGTCGACAAGAACACTATACATTCCTCATCTCGCCCTTAAAAAAAAAAAGAAAAAAAAAGAAAAAAAAGAAAAGAAAAGGTAGGCTAATAGTTGAGGATAAAATTATCTTTGCAATGTATCATTTTGACTTTTTAAAATTGGTAAGAGATAGGACGGGTTTTTAATTTCCTTTTTGTATACTAATATTATATATATCGATGCTTGTAAAAGAAAAAAAGTTATTTGTCTGCCGAGTAAAGAGGTACTTTTTATCTTTTCATTTGATTATCTACAGTAAAATAATTATATTTTCCGTTGAGATTATATATATATAACCCCGACAATGGAGGCTGCTTTCATCTTTTAATTTTTTATAAGCACGGTTAAAAACCTACTTGTCTTTCTTGTTTCTTTAAAACAATATTGTCGTCGTCCAAGTATTTTTTTTAAATGCCAAACCGGCGCACAGCGCAACACAGATCTAGTCAATGATATATATATTTCTTCCATTGACTTGATTTAGATAACCAATGAATTCAATGAGAAAAGTTCAAAGGTAACCACCCTAGTTAATTAAGTACCTCAAAGGTTCAGCACATGGCATGGACAAGGCTCCAATTTTATGACCAGGCCAATGCAAAGATGCGGTCAAATTAGCACCACTGATGGATGGTGATCACAAACATCAAGCTATAATCCAGGCCACATGCACAGCATCCAGTCTTTTGAGAGCAGGCCGGGACCTATGCCAATCAGTAGAGAATGATAGAATGCAAAGAGTTCAAACACAATTCTCCAACATAACGTTTTCTTTCAGTTCTGGAAAAATGAGTTTCGGAATTTTTACACCATTTGAACCTGTATAGCATTCAGCTTTGCAACTCAGTTCTACAGTCGTTGTATGCATGATAACAAATTAAATACAACATACTAAACAAACTCTACATCATATTCGGGTATTATATCTGATTTAATGTATTTTAGATTGTCACTGATGCAAAAAAGATTTGTTTTTCCCTTTTCTATGGATAAAACCAAAACCATCAAAGAACACATTAAGTATTAAGTAACACAGCGATAAGTTACCAGGTGACCAACAATTTCACTGCTGTATGTAATTTTCACCATCTGCCCCTTCTGCAGTCCATAGTATTGCACAATAGCATCAGATTCTAGCATTCTTGGGAGCTGAAAGGAAAAGGCAAATTAAAAAAGTCAGATAACGTGCTTTAGCTTGATCAATCATTTAACAGATACCTTTGCCACAAAAACAATGGAAACGGAACATGCTAGACAGTACAGCTGTAGCAGAATTTCAAACTTCTAATTCTCAAGAGAAAACCAAGTAAATGTTGCTTTTAACTTCAAATTTATACTTCTAAACAGAAGTTTAAAGAAACTGTTTTCAGGTATGAGCATAGCCCACCTACACCATACCAGGCTTCATGGGTTACCCCAAATTTGTAATGAAAAGCTCTACAAAAACAATCTGCTTTGGAAGGTTACCTTTATGAGTAACTAGATTCCAACAAAAATAACTCTTGTGGAACTAAGAGTATAATTGAGGTAATAATTTCAGGGAACAGGGAGACCTATAAATGTGAAATGCAACGCAAATCCACATAAGGATGTTGATATCGAAAGTATGTCCCTTTAAAATGCCATTCACTTTTTTGGCATGTCATCTTATAACTACATAATACCTGTTTGTCTTCCAACTTGTATTTGTTCATAACCTGTTGCTTCTGCTCAGCAGTCAGTATATCCATCTGTGGCTGCAGAACATGCTTGGTGATGTTCACCAGCAGGTCGGTGATCTGAATGCAAAGAAACCATCAAGTGATTGTCAAAAATTCGAATGCAAAACCTTTTTAAACATAAGCTAAATTCCAAAAGGACTATAAACTATATAAAGAGGAAACGCTAGTCAGTTGACAATTTCCCTAACTTTGGTGGCGAAAGAGGATAGAAAAATTGCAAGCAGTACCACTAGTATAACAGACATGATTGAAGAGTGACTAGCATGGCCTCTAGCAGCCAGAAATTAGTATCATTCCTTAAATCCCTGAGCGCTCTAACTTTTTACTGATGCCCTTACAACGAACTGCAGAATGAAAAATTATTTCAGCAACAGGGGAACATACTTGAAAAACCTCCACTTTGAATGGAAACTTCTCCAGCTCTTTCTTGGCAAAGTGGTTCATTTTGCTTTGCAAGATGAGTATGAGCCCATGTAGACACTCTTTGTTAAGAATCTGACCATAAACAGTCCTGATATTTGCTGTTTTAATTTCATCAGTTCCCAAGAACATCACCAGGGTCTGCAGGACAGTTCAAGAAAACTATGACCAGGATTTCCATACAAATTTTGCCTAATAGAAAGTACTTAGACAAGGGCTACTCCTGTCTCATAATTCCAACTTCACATGGTACTCCAAGCATGAGATTTTTAAGAAAATAAAAGGCCAACTCAGGTTTTGATCCACAAAATTCAATTCGAAATCCATTTCTTCATCATTTCTGTATAACCTGCACTAACATGTTTGCCCCCCCAAAACCTGTCACAATCAACCAAGTAACGTGCCCAACAAAAAAGGTGATTACCCCAAGGATAAGTCATAAAAATGCAACAAATCATCATAGACACCATTTGGCGTGCATACGCAACAGCCCATTTTTTAGCAAAATACCTTTTCATTTCCTTTAATGAATCAAAACATAATGAAAACACAAGATTTTAAAAGTCTACTTAGAAACCAAATCAAAAGGCATAAACTTTATAAATAGTATAAAATAATGCAATAAAAAGTTGCCACATTACAACAACTCCTCTGTCCTCTACTCAAAAACCCCATGAAAATAAACAAATATAAATTATAAAAAATACTTGATTATTATTATTGTAAAACCCCACATCATAAAAGCGATGGAAATACTCAATAAAATAATAGAGATGATAACAGCACCACCACCACCAACAACAACAACGATAACAATAAGCACACCTTCTTATGCGGATTGGAGCGGAGAGAAACAGAGAAGCGGAGGCTATCAAGGTCAGGGCTATTTCCAAAAACGGAACGGAACTCAGTGAGCGAGCGATTGAGTTCTGAGTCAAGCACGTCATAACCACGGTCTTTGAGCATTTCCAAAACTGTCCTTCGAGAAATGTAGTATCTGTAGCTCTGTGGTGACCCTTCGTCCACAAAATCCTTCAGGCATCGATGGCGGTCGAGAACGCCGTGGACGGAAGCGCAGTTGCCGTTAAACGTCTCTGTGGTTGCTGCCATTGTCAAGTTCTGTTACTCTCTGTCGCTCTCCTCTATCTCTCAGACTGACCGCCTCACGTTGCTTGTGTCTGTTTTTAACAGGAGGAGAGTGTGCTCTGTTTGAAGCGTAAAGCTTTTATAGGCCCATTTAAGTCATTGGGATGATTTATTTCTTGGACTACAATCTGGGCCCACTCCGTAGATACATGATCCAGCCTGGCATTGTTATTAAACCAGGCAAGGTGTGGTATCTCAAGTCAACTTAAAACCTTGTTTATATTAGGTTTTTAAAAAATTAAAGGCTAATTAAAAATTTAGATTGATTTATGCTAGTATTTTTAATAAAAAAAATGGAGTTAATCCGTGGGATTAATTCCCTGTAACTATCATTTAAACGTTAAATTTGATTTTTAAAAATATTTTCACTTAAAAATATATTAAAATAATTATTTTATATTTTTTACATAAATATATTAAAATTAAAAAAACACTAAAAAATAATCCATTTATATTTCTTTCATGAAAAATACTCTTTTAAAACGTAATCATACGTAATAGGAACCTTATTTTCTGCTTTTAACCGTAGGGGACGAGAGTTTATGGACGAACGACAACTTCCTCAAAGACTTAACTATATTAGACGACATGTCATCCACGTCACGCAACAAAAATCTGCCATTTACTTGCAACCACCACCAGCAATCATTTTCACCACCATTAAAAATTTCGAGAAATACAGAGAGCAACACACAGAGAGAGCGAGAGAGAGAGGTGGGTTTCATGGAGGAGCAAGGCAAGCAAAAAAAGAAGAATAAAAAGCCATTATCATCATCTTTTTGCCCCATAAACAATCTTGATGATGGTTGCCTTATGCACATCTTCAGCTTCTTATCCCCAATTCCAGGTCTGTATCCTTTTCTTTTTCACCTTTATTTTTATGTCTCTCTCTGCTTGCACGTACTGTGTGAACCTTAATTGAATAAAAAGTTGAAACTTTTTGCTATACTTTGGTTTAGTCAGGTGTATTCGGCCTTATAGTATAAAACCCTATTCTCGGAATTTGTTGATAGATCCATGGAAGATTGAGTTTTCAGCTGTTTTTGACATCTGGGGTCTTGAAATATTGGTGTAGTTTTGTGAAAAGTCTTGATCTTTAGTTTATTTTTGCCTAGATTTTGTTAAGTTGACCATTTTTTATGCTTAGTCGTTGGAGTTTGTGTTCTTTTGGGAATTGGAAGAGTATGAAATTTAATTCATTTGGTTGATAAATTGCAGATTAGAGAGAGGGAATCAGCATGAATTATGCGAGCGAACCTTGTTAATTTATATAACTTTTGCATTGGTTATTTAAGGTTCACCAACTGAAGAAGATTCGATTGGAAATTGCAAACACAATTTACTGGGGAAAATGAGGGACTAACAATGTTAAGTTAAAAATTTATTTACAGTGGCTGCATAAATCTCAACGATTAATTTTGGTGACTACATTTGGCTCAGTGGTGATACAGCTGAGGAGGGGGGGTGTCATTTGTAATAACCTTTTAGTGCAAGAATGTCCTATATTTGTATTTTGGTTGCTAGCATATTTTTCTGTTATTGTTTTAGTGTTTATTATGTTAGGCAAGTAATTTTTTTTATCTTAAGTGGAAAACAACAATGTGATAATTCTGTGATAAATTTACACCCTTGACACTTGTGTGGCATAATTTTGAGCAATCTGTGTCACAAATTGCTATTGAGTTTGCAGATCGGTATAACACCGCCCTCGTTTGCCACAGATGGTGTTACTTGGCATGTCATCCTCGCTTATGGCTCCGAGTAGAACAATCTGCCAAAGATTTATCAGAGCCTGGAGTTTTCCCCAGCATTGAGAAGGCTGTCTCTGCTGCTAGGTATGTATGGTGATGTTTTCTACATGTATTTTTCAGGAAGAATAGAGGGAAACAAAATCTTATCATGATTATTGTTCCTTTAGGCCCGGTGACACCATTCTAATTGCAGCAGGTGGGAGGCATCTTGCCTCTAATATTCAAATAAACAAACCTCTTTGCCTGGTATGTGCTGATGATTTTATACCTTGTGATGTTATTCTGTCTTTAACTATAGCCTATTATTAATAAATAACTCACAAGTGGACTCGTTGGTGAAATCCTCTAGCTGTCAATATCTTCTACATTGGATCTTGACTAAGGATCCAACAACTTGACCTCTAGTCTGGGCTGGAATAACCATGACTGAGGTTACATTACTTCAGGAGTCCTTTTTTTAATTAGGACCTTTTTCTTTCTATTTAACAAAGCTTAACCATTTGTTTTTTACATTTGAGTCTTTTTTTTGTAGTCAGTACACAATGCACAATACTTGTAGGATAGGGATAGCATTGATTCAACCATACTTGCCTGATCCACAGTTTATGTCAACCTAATGCTCAAAATTCAACTGGCATCACCTTGGTGAATTGTACAATGCAGATCTATTGTAGGTTATTTCTTTTTTCTCTTTCAACGATTCTAGATTTTACTACATGAAGAAGTCAAGCTTCATGTATCATAGTTGTGTAAAGCGACAATGTGTGAACCAGTATTTTGACCATGATGTTGTTTTCAGCACTTGGGATGGGGACGTGCTTTGTTTTTGATAATAGTCATGTGCACTTTTTGATAAAACATATTCAAACTACAAGTGGCTGGCATCTTCGGTTTATTACTAGGGAATTGAATAGTGAACTTATGTAGTAGATAAATTTTTCCAGATTCTGCATCTTCTATCACAATTTACTTTGTTCAGATTGGTGGTGGTGAGCTTCCTGATGAAACAACTCTCTTATGTTCTCGAGGTTCAGACAGGTGTGTTGAGATTTTATTTTTTTCTCCACATCATATTGTTGGATGGTGATCTGACTAGAGTTCTCTCCACATAAATTATGCAGAGCGTCAGTGCTTTTGGATCTCAATTTGCTAATATTGAAATTAAAGGATGTCTTTCCTGTCCTCAGAATTTATGCTTGTATCATTGTTATGGCATCCATATTGCTTAGTGATGCATGAATGCACATCAGACAATCACTAAAGCACGCTCGACTTCTTGTGTATTTCTTTGTATGATTATAATGAGAAAATCGCTTCAAATCAACTAATCTGACTAGAGTAAGGTTACATGCCCACAATATTTTATGCAACTGCGATGCCTGATCGTCTGGCTCCTTATTAATGTCTCTTTTGATTTTAATGTTAGCTACTTTCCTTGCCTGGGATTTTGTTGTCGAACAGTTTAGAGTGGACTCCTCAAAATGTAACCATCCTAAGTCACAAAATTTGGTATATCCTGTTCAATTCTTTATGCAGTGCACTGGAGTTCATATCTACCTGCAAACTAGCAAACCTAACAGTGAAGGCAGAGCTTGGTTGCTGCTTGCTTCACAAAAGTGGAAGGCTAACCATTGACAGTTGCATACTTCAATGTGAGGCAAGCCCTTTGGACTATCTCTCGTGCCCCATCATCAGTACAGCAGGGGGGAATGAGGTGGTGTCTTCCGCAGTGAAAACCAAAGGTAATAGAGTTTCTGTTTCCCAAACCAGGATTGAAGGAGGTGCCAAAGCTGTTCTGACAAGTGGGGACCTGACATTGCAGCAAGTTCGAGTCATTTATGCTCGAACTTCTGTTTATTTCTGGTTTGATGTGGATTCTCAGTGATGATCAATTCTTCATCACGAGCTTGTCTGTGCCATAATGAAACTAGTTACATTATTGTTTCTCACTGCTGTATTGATTCCCAATTTAGATAATTTAATCGAATAACACGCTTTCTAGCTTTCTTTGCATAATTGCCAGTACACTTGCCCTCCTGTAATTTCACTTAATATGAAAAAAAACTTGTTCGGTCCTTCTCTATAATTTGACAAGTTTATTTATTCCTTGCTTACCGTAATTGCCTTATCTCCTGCATTCCAACTCTGATAATGAATGTTTTTGCTCTGAAAACCCCCAGTTGATTTCTATAAAAGCTCCACTGGAGCTTGTGCAATGAGAAAAGTCACAGTACATACACTCTACAAAAGAGTAATCAGACGCCACATCAGTCCAAACAATAATGCCACCAACACCAAGCCGTTGCCACAGCAAGATTCAATATAATAAGTTGCCCGTTGCCAAAGCAACTGATAACAGTCATTGAAATGGACTCAAGGACTGTAGAAATGAACCCCGGGACCATTTCTTTTGTTTGATGGTAAGTTACATCGAGCCAAGAGAAAGACATTATGTTCCATGGATGATCCCAAACCCAAGGAACGTTTTTTGATAGTAGAAACATTGCTTGTGGAAACAAAAGTACAGGATGCTTCCCAGATAGAAGCACACAACTCGAGCTACACCTATCTAACTAAGAGAGCAATTTCAACAATGATGCAGCTAAAGCACCATACGGCTTCTCAACTACAGGCTTCGAAATCTTCTATTGCACCATCTTAGGTACATTAGACAGCTCATAACCAACCATAACCTGTCTTTATTTGTTAAGTTGCATTTGATTAGTATTCGAGGACAGGAGACAGATACGTATTTGGTTACAAGGATGAAAATAGTATCTCGGGGATAGTTTTAGTGTGAGTTCCTGTGAGAAGAAGAAATCCAAATTGTCCCAGCTTTTCGAGAATTAAAAAACTGAAAAATAATCCATGGCAAAGTGCCTAAAATTTAAAAAAAAATCGTTGTCTAATAGAGAGAACTAATAACGAAAGAAAGTAAAAAAGCCCTAACAAATAGCCTCCACAGAAAGGGTCTTGATAACATCATCACCACAGGTAGTCGAGCCAAATGTAGCTTCTGAAACATCAATGGTGCACGACTCCTGGCCAACACATGCCTGTGAAGAAGAACAAAAATGAAAAATTAACTGGTTGCAAAGAATAATAAAATAAAGTAGAAACAAAAGATAAACACTTTACCTTTTCGACAACAGATAATGCATCCTTTGATCCCTCACAGTATCCCTTCACAAAAGATCCACAAGCCCCTTGTGGATTACCGAAGCTAGCAAATTTAACAGCAGAAATCGGTCTTCCCTGGCATGAGAGCTCGATCTTCCTGTTCTCCTCAGCACTGATGCATGCTGATCCAATAGCAATAGCTTGGAAATTAACCGATGAAGGGTTTCCACCAAACTCTTCAAACAAGACCAATGAGTTATCGCCATTGCCATTGAGGAATGATCTTGGGACATGATACCTGACAAAGACATCAACTGGAACGTTAAAGCAACAGCAAAATTATCCTCAGAAAATAGTTCTTCGAAGGGAAAAAATGATCACCATCTTTGAGTTGGATGGCCACAGTTAGAGAGACATTTGTTGCTATCGTATGAACCTCGATAATCACATGGTTCAAGATTGCAATCACCCTCAGCTATGAAACTCGGCCAATATCGACCAATGCTGTTACCATTAACCCAAGCTAGACCTTTTCCCATTCCAAGTAAATCTACCACAACAGGATCTGTTCCCAGAGGAGCTTTGAACACGGTCTACAAAAATTAAAAATAATTTATAATATGTCACCACAAATTCCGTGTTTTAAACTATGGTTCAATCGCAATTTCAAACACAATATATTACACAAATAAACATGCATTATGTATAATACATTAAGGTTTTGAAACGCAACAGAAACAATAAATTGCACGTCTAATGCATTAAAATTAATTAATTTAATTTACCTTGTACCAAGTTAAGGTCCTGTTTACAGGGAAGCTATCTTCTTGCCACTTAAGAGACTGACTGCTGTAGAGTTCTTGATTCAGACCTTCCAATCCAATCTTGTATGACCATTTTTGTGATGATAAATCCTTGACAACTATCTCATCATCACCATGGTAGCCAATCAGTTCGACTGGACCAGTAATCCCAGATGGTGCCAGATCAAAATTGGCTCCATAGTTCTTCAAATTTATTGAAAAGAAAACATTAATTAAGCACTAATTAACAATACTTACTAAAAGATTATTAAAAATAAGGATTGATTTGTACCGTGAAACCAACTGTAGCGCTGAGCAGGCTAATTGTGTTTTTCTTATGATTCAATTTCACGTTTTGCTCAAAAACAAAACTCTCACCGCCATTCTTAGACCACTGAGAACCTATCACCATATGATAAATAAATTTATCCACATTGTAATTAAAATTTAAAATATATAAAAACAAATAAGAGTTAATATCCAAGATTTTTCTTTTTTCTTACCAATAAGTTCTCCATTAACAAAGGCATGAAGAATTTGGCCGCTACTTTTAACCCGGAGTGTCATATTATAACTCCAGACTGGATCATCTTTTTTAAGATTAACACTATTAAATAAAAAAATTAACCAAATAAATCTCCAATAATATAATAAATAATGTATTGAAACCAAAAAAATAATAAATAAACATCGAAAAATAACCTTGTCATGTAGAATAAATAATCACTCAAATCATTCGCCGCCTCTTTTTGGTCAAGAATCTGATTAACGGTGACATCTCCCTTTGCAAGAAGTATAGTCCTATCGTCCATTTCAGGTCTCCATGACCATTTAAGAGAAATGGGCTCATCTTCAGCGACGTTTGCTTTCTTGACCATCACTGATGTTTGAGTAGATACCTGGTAATATATAAGATTTAATAAAAATATTGTAATAAACTATAAATTTGATATAAAAAAATATAATAATAACCAAAAATAGTGATATATGTTTGAGCTGATAACTAATAATATTGATATACAACTTATAGAGTTTTGATAAATAAATTAATAACTTATAAAATTTTGATAAAAATATTAAAATAAACTATAAATTATAATTACCTTGGCTGTGTTGTAAGACACATTTAGACAATCTGGAAGTATACTAACAGACCATGCCGGTACTGTATAATTTACGCCTTGGAAATTGATTCTTTTATCACTCCCTTGGTCTACATTGGCCAAAAAACAGCTTGATCCACCTTCTTTTGAATATATAGTGCCCTAAAAAAAATAAAGATGCAATATTAAAACAAAATCAAGTATTAAATAATTAAAAAAAATAAAAATAATATTAAAAATAAGTATTAAATAATTAACAAAAAAAATTACCCAAACAGAATCATCACCCAAATCGACAGAGGAAACGTTCCCTGTTGTAAGAATATCCTCCATGGAATGCAATAGGTCATGAAGTTGCTTCAAATGCCCTCATTTTGGCTGGTTCAGGTTTCCTGTTAAGAATTATATTAAAAAATATAACTATAAAAACATATAAGAGTATGATCTCAAACTTTGTAGTAAAATCAATAAAATAATTCTTAAATAAGTTGTTACCATATTCATCGAGGGGTGCGTCATAATCATAGGATGTAGTAATGTATGGACCCCCAGCTGATCGACCAAAATTAGTTCCACCATGGTACTAAAATAGCATACTATAAAACTAGTGTTACAAAAAAATAAGTTAATTTGAGAAAATATAGTTATTATTAAATAAAATTGTGAAAATAAAAGATTTAAAGCTTAAACTAACCATATAATAGTTTTGGAAAGTGCCTCCCATCTGATAAAATCTTGCTACAGCAAAAGCAAGATCCTCAGCAGTCCTGTGTGGATCTTTACCACCCCAATTCTTATACCTTGAAAAAAGTAATTTTGAAAATTATAATTAAATAATATATTAATTTATATGGAGTTTTAATTAATATTATGTAAATAATATATAAATAAAAACACATGAATTACCAGCCAGTCCAATTCTCAGTCCACATTTTAGGAATATTTGATCTCCTAGGCTGGTATTGATCACAATACCAACCATTGCATGTACTGATCTGTTCACAGTAATTACAAAAATTAATCACAAAATGAAATTAAGATATTAATATTTATATTAAAATTAAAATCACTAATATTAATAAAAAAAATCATGATTACAAAAACCAGCTCTGACGTGCTAACAATAATTATTTAAAAATATCAATTTTTATAGTAAAATTAAAATTACTAATGTTAATAAATAAAATACTACATTTTCATAAGATTAATGCACAAATCAATCACAGATACTTTTTATTAGTAAAATTAAAATTACTAAGACTAGTCAAAAAAAGAAAATCATTATTAAAAAAATAAATCACAAACTAACATTAAGATATTACATTTTTGTAGGATTAATCAAAAAGATAAAATCATGAAAAAAAATAAAATAATATATACCATACCATTGGTTCTGGAGCATCGTCCTGCCGGCACATGAGCCATGGAACTCCAATGTCAAGAGATTGAGCCATGTTCGCGCACCAATTCATGTATGCCTTCCCTTCATCTCCATAAGATGACATGACATCGCCATATTCGTTCTCAATCTATATCCATTTTTATTTTAAATAATTAATATTTTGACAAAAACACTTACCATATATGACATGTAGCAAAAATTCAAAATAATAATAATAATAATAATAAATTTATAGTTTGAATATTTTTTCATATATATAAATTTCGCATACACACAACACTAATCAAACAAATAACTATGATTATTTTATTTTATTTTATTTTTTGCCACAATTTCTATGCATGCAATATATAACTCAACGCTAATCAATATTGAATATTACAATATTGTTATGAAACAAAAATTATATGAAATATATTTATAATATACCTGAGCAAGAATAACAGGACCTCCTTGTGATGCAAAAAGGTTTTCTCGTTTCACCATGTCAACAATCAACGTAGTGAAGTTTTGCATCTCATTCTGTAGTGAAAAAAAAAAACTGAATTAATTTAAATTAATTAATTATTAAACAGTAAATAATAACAAATTGAATTAATATGATGAAGATGGTATAAAATTAATTAATTAATTATATATATTACCTTGAAAACATCATTATCAGTTCTCATCTGAATACCAGGCAT